GGCTTTTGGCCTAGGGTTTTGGGATGTTGGATTTAGGCTTCGGCATTTGGGATGCAGCGGGATTTTTGCTTGAATGCAGAGAACGGAAGGGAAAACAAGATGGAACATGGAACGAAAAAAAGGGGTTGGTATACGGATTACGTGTAGGGAAGTTTCATCAAAATGGTATTTCAGGTATATGGTATATGCTGCTATATCAGAAGTCTGCAGCAACAACTTTGGTAGTTTTTCAGGTTTCACTCCAGAATGTGTTGTGCTAACCGGCATTCTGGTGAACCTGCAAGCCCCATGCCATAAAGCTCACCAAATCTCACCCGATGGTAAGGTATGCTCCCAATGGCCGGATCCCGAAAGTAGGTAGAATACTTGCACAAAAAACACACACACACACACACACACAAGGGCCGTTGTTCACACATTGCGGAGTCCAAGCATTTTCTCCAAAAGGAATCCGCAAACCTTAAACCCTATGCCCTCATCCCTATTTCTACTCCCTTAGCCCTACTCCCTGAACCCTACTCCCTAAACCCTAACCCCTAAATACACTAAACCCACGAAATCCCACCCCCAACTCCGCCTCAGCTCGATGATATTTCGCACTTCCTCCGGCATCGCTGCAGGAAGAGTCGCTGCAAGGCGCTGCAGATCCACGTCCAATCCGAAGCCAACCTAAAGGGGAGTTTGGGATTGTGCAGGGGTTAAAAAGGGACTAAAGAAGGTTGTATATGGATTATAAAGGGGTTAGATAAGTAGTAAAGGGAGGTAGGGCCTTGGGCTTGAGGGTTCAAGTATTGTTAAGGTTCTAGGGTTTAGGGTTTCAGGTGTTAGAGGCAGGCTTTAAGGGTTAGGTTCAGGGTCCAAGCTTCGGGCGATGTTGAGGCTGATGGAAAATCTTGCACGACCTACTGGCCTTGAACTAATAGCGAGTATATCACCTACATCGTAGGACTGGGGGAACGAGTACAGCAACGGTAACAGCTTTGCGCCAACAACAATATCTGACGGCTTCTTTCAGTCATGGATGCAGTTTGCTTGCTGTATACAAAGGCCAAGTCCAAGGCTGAAGGGTTACCGCCTAAGCTGCCAAGAAAGTGGATAGGGATCCAGTGAGGAAACCAATGTTGGTGACAGTGTGTGATGTTTGTGGGTTAGGCTTCTATGAGGGTTGTCTAGGGTCATATAGGGGGAATGAAAAAGAAAATGGAAGATGCCATTTAGGGTGTTGTTCGTGGTTTACGTTCAGGGGAGGGACAGTCAACCCCATAAAATCATCCTAGCTTTCATGTCTTTTTCCCAGGTTCTTTCCCGATTGGTTCTCCGTCTTGTGTCTGTATGTCCCTATATACCCCTACCCTCAACCCTAAACCCCTATATATCCCTACATATCCCTAATAGCCCCTAGTCTGGACATGTAGAGGGGACGACAGCTGAGGGATTTAGGGCTCAGGGTCTAAGATTTGGCGTTGGGGATCTAGATGTTGACTTTCTTTGGTTGTTTGGCCCTGTCTTTTGGGACATCTGGATTTGGGAGCAGCAGTCATTAGTTTTGACATCAGCAACAGTTTCAGCTATCCATCAGGCTGTGATGCTTTAGATTGAAGTGTTTACTGCCCTAAGCCCTAAACCCTGCTGACCCTAAACCCTAAACCCTAAACCGCTACAGGGAAATAACTTAAACAGGCTGCCGATTAGGCGTTTGCAGGGCGAACCCTCAATTTACATTCAGCACTCAGAGTGCCTAATTGCGGTTAAAGCACAGAGGACTGCTCGTTTTGAGTAATTACTAGCGCGGAGGTTTGTGGATGAGGCTAACTCCTCTTTGAAAATGTCTGGGTTTTCAGGCGCTAGGTGCATTTCGGAACGAGGAATACAAGCCCCACACCAGGTATTGTTCATTTCCTCGAAAGACGTGTGGGCAGGTCACGGGAGCTTGAAAAAGTCAATACCCCGAGCACCTAAAATTTGAAATTCAGGGCTGTAGGGATAATGCACACATGTTAGTTTCTTAAATTAGTTGGGCCCCAATATAGACGCCAGAACATGATAATCCTTATTGCTGGGACCCTGGCTTCATCTGCAAGTGTTGTGAGCCTTCAAAGGCCCATCATGCAACCCCTCGAACGGCATGCCCGGAACCAACCCTAAACTTACTGGTTCTTAGTAGTAGGGAAAATGGGAATATGCCATATAGGGACGATATAGGGATCATAGTCCCTTCTTTTCTACTAAGAGCCAGTAGGTAAACCCTAGACCTTAAACACCAACCCATCACATTTACAAGCAGTTTGCGGGCGCCTTGTACAAATGCTCCGCTGCTAAGGCCTTCTTCAGAATCCTGGCATCAGCATATTCACGCGATTTAGGGTTCAGGGTAGGGCAGTGGTGCGGGTAATGATTTGCAAAAGTCACCTCCGCGCAATATGCCCTTATGATAAGTACTCTCGCCTATATAGTGGTGCTAGATAGGGGTGGTGGCTTAGTATTAAGAGTGGTTGGGGGGTTATGATTAGAGGGAGGGAGATAATTCGCAAGAGTGACTGTGACTCTTCTTGAGGTAGGAACATGAAGAGCCTGATTGCCATTGAGCTTCATTTAGCCCTGCAAAACTGATGCTCCAAAGTCAAAAACACCTGGGTGTTCCATACAGCAGTTCGAAAGACACAGTAAAACCTAAAGCAGGAGGAAGCGGAAACCCTAGAGACTGAATGGCTGAATGGCTCTCCCGCCTGCATCTTTGGGTAAGAAAATGTTACGGCACATGAAACAGCAAGGGCTTCACAAGTCATAGCTAAGGAGATGGAATCCTTGTCCTAGTCACCCTCGTGATCTGGGAAGGCCTCCATATTGAAGCCCCATGGGGAGTGTAACTCTATAACCCCTATAGTTTCCATTTTCTTTTCCATTCTCCCTATATAACCCCGAGAGAAGGAATCAGGGAACATGAAAGCTCAAAGAAGCTGGATCGGTGCCCCTCCTCCCAACGCGGCTCCACAGCTCCTCACTTTCCTGCCTCAGATTGAAGGCGCCAAATCTACGGAAAGTTTAGGGTAGCTCACTTGAGCTACAGTCTAAACTCCTAGTATCCCCCTTAATAACCCCTATAGTAGTCCCCTATATAATCCCTTGTATAACCCCCCTTTAAGGAGTTTAGACTAAAGCTCATTTCTTGTTGGAGTCATCTGCTTGCCAGCCAAGTCCAGGGTAGCTCACAGGTTTCAGGTTTACGCTAGGGAACTAGGGCTTGAGAGGGTTCTGCTTCTGCACCTGTTCTATCACATGTTGCTTGCGGAGAGATGGCTACTTAATCTGAGAAGCTGCTGCCTGCAACGGCGTCCAGCCATCTAGCAGTTTTATAGTGATCAAACAAGATCACTTAAGGGATGTTACCCCAACAAGGGAAAATCAGATGGGAAAGAACATGGAAACATGCAAGCTGAGTTTATGTGGAGGTTATACTTGAGAGAATGGGACTTGGGTTTGAGGTTTAGGAAAGTTTAGGATTTGGGGCTTAGGGTTGACAGAGGACTCGAAATTTTCCCTGGAGAGCGCTAGCAGAAAAGGATTGCAGTGAGCATGGGCACATCTTAATAAGGCAATTTCCCTAAGTTAAGAATGGAATATAGACCCTGAACTATCACAGTCGATATCATGGAGGCCACCCAAGGAGGTACCCCTAAGTTTGGGTAACCCTCATATCTGCATAAAAGCTCTATCATGACCCTTCCCTCTACCCCGACTGTGCACGGACAAGAGCTCTGATTCGACCCCGAACCCTGCAGACTGTAGTAGTTTCCCTCTGCCCTTCCAATCCTCTAAGACAACCCTATACAACCCTAGATAATCTGCACAAAATAAAGTAATAGTTTCCATTTGCTTTTCCATTTCCTGCATCATTTTTGTATAGCCCCTTTTCCCTAAACACTGGACCCTAAACCTTGGGCCCTAAACCCTGAGCCCCAAACAATAAAACTGAGTCCTAAGCCCTAAACCCTGATCCCTAAACCCTAAGACCTAAACCCTAAACCCTAAACTGAGTGCGTCAGGGGCCGTCGAGCAGGGCGAACGCACCGAAGCCGGCAGGCCAAGGATTCAAGGCAAACCCAGCCCAAACTTGCACCCGTCTGATCTAGACAGGTCCATTTGTTCAGAATTGGAGTCCAGCTACGAAGAAAACTAAAGGCCTCGAGCCAGACCCAAACCCCCGTCTAGTCTGGACAGGTCCACCTGGTTCAAGGCTCCAAGGCTTCCAGGCAAGTCTCAATCTCAAGTCTCGAGCCAGACTCAGCCCAAAACGCGCACCCGGCTGGTCTAGACAGCTGCAAAAAACAAATAACAAGACAGGAGCGCAATCAGAGTTGGGGAGAACCCCTCAACCCGTAAAGGTCGAGGCAAGGGTGGAACGCCAGTGGGGGTGGGCTCATGCCTGGGTGCTTCCAGCACCAGCGCACCCCATTTAGGGGGAGGGGAGTGGTTGCTCTCTCAAGAGCAAGGCCCGGCCTTGTTTTTTGGCTTTCTTGGACCTCCCCTCAAAGCATCCCATGACGGTACTGCAATCCCCCTAAAACCTATAAACACATTGTTCTTCTTAATTTAGGCTTTGGGTTTAGGGTTTAATTCCTTAGGGTTATACTAGAATTTCAAATGCAGAAGTACTTCCCAAGGAGACTACAGAGTAGACGCTGCGAGCTTCAGCTGTCCCCGAAGTCATGTTGAAGAGCCTTGTAGCATGTTTTGCAAGCCCCTCCCACCCTCCCCTGTGTAGTCGATCCTGCGTCAAGCGTATGAGCCCCATCAATTGGGCCTTTGAGACATACACCGTTAAAGACCCCCTGGCACCAGGGCATGTGCAAAAAGCCTGCATGGCCCAACTGAAGGTGCCCTACAAACACTTTTCTGATTGGGTACGTTATGCGTGCATTGACTGCGCTCTATCAAGCGCCACACAATCCCAAAAAACGTGATAAAGCCTCACGATGCCCCTATCCTGCAATAACATCCTTCTACTCAAGTCTAAGATGCAAGGCCACCATGTCCAGCAAAAACCTGAGCACAGCAAAGAAGGGAGGGATGGAAGGTATGGATTTAGGAGCTGTTGCCGGTGGTCAAATCATGCCAGAATGGACCTCTAGCTTGGGAGACTGATTCATCATGAGGGCATGGGTTGTAAGTATTGAGGGGGTGACGCGAAATCCAGCCTTTTGCGGCAGCTTGGGTGCAGGCACACTGCACTTTGTATGGGCTGACCCCTTGGACCATGGAAAGTGGAGCCGACTGGGCCTGATTAGATAGGGGGCTTTCAGCCAAGGGAATTCTCCTTCGACTTGGGAGCCCGGGAAAGGCGTCGGGGGTTGAAGAAGTTTAGCTTTCCAGGAGCACAGCTACCACAGGTAAGGTAGGAATCAAGCAGCCGCCAGGGATCGTGACCCCGCAGCTCAGTCTCTCTTCAGGGGTAGTTAGCTCGTCTGACTTCCAGGCTAGGAAAGGGAGCTTTCAACTTTCAAGTGTAAATGGGCAGGCAAGGGGGCCCAGTGCAGCTGCGTGACACGCTGCGCCGGAAAGAGAGCTGGAGGAGCGCAATGCCGGTTGGAGATTTCGGACGCCACTCTGCGTCGATTCCTTTGGTCGCATGCTCTGACTTAAAAGCTTGCCTTGAATCAGCAACATCTCCAGGGTTGCAATCCAGTTGCAATTTGCTCGCTACGTCCAGCTATTCGCTTCACTGGCATTCACATGCTTCCACCTCGTGACTTCGTGACTGCTGAGACATTGTCACCTGTCAACGGGTCTGCTCAGTAGCAATGTTGGCGCCACATATCTTGCAACCTGAATGAAGACTGAAGTCGTCCGAGCCTGACCATGTCTGGGCCTGGGCCTGAAATCTCAGAAATCCTGCCTTTGATCCTAGATCCTTGATGGTCACAAATACAGAAATTCTACATGTAATCTCCTCGCCTGCATCCCCTCGAAAACTTCCAAGCATCCCACAATGGGCAGGAGGGGCGTGACAGTGGACGCGTGCGGCTGCTCAGAATCGGAATCTGGCAAGTCTGCGGAGCCAGAAAGCCTCAGGGACTGGAGCGAACTCGGTTTAGGTTAAAACTAAGCAAGCTTTTGAGTTCTACTAGTAAGTACAGAACAGACATGGATCATTATGACAATTATGTGGAATCCGATTAGCGAGGGGGTCCTTCATCGTGCGAAGCTTTGCCGAAATTGTCAGCACCCTCTGTTTCGTTTGGGGGGCCTTAATTGTTTGAAGTTGCGCGGCCTAAATTTCCTTGGGTGACGGGAAAACCGCTTTACCAGAGCTACTGAGCCCAGACACTCTGGTCCTATTGAACTGAATTGTTTGGGGGCCCCGCTCTACTAGATAGGATCCCATTTCTGTTTGGGGGGTGGTAGAACTAAGCAGGACAAGATATCAAATGGTTCAAGTTGTAGAACTTGGGGTGCAAAATCTGGTTTGCCGGAAGCCCCCTAGACCCTAAACCCTAAACCCTAAACCCTAGAACCCTAGAACCCTAAACCCTAAACCCCAAAACCCTAAGCCCTAAACCCTAAACCCTAGGCCTCTCCCGGAGCACGTTCTCCAGCTTCTGGAGCCCAGAGGCTTCCGCCACCTCAGGCAAAGGCCGAGCTGAAAAATGATTTAGAGGGATTATGGAAAATGAAATGGAAACTACTGGGAATACAGGGATTATATGAGGATTATATAGGGGATATAT